TAAGAGGTGAAAGTGAAGGTACAGATTCCACTTGTAAAACATTCCAAAAGAATATAATAAACACTACCTCCTCTCGGGTGTGTCACATCAGTGGCTAATTAGAGGACGGCTCTTTTTTACTACTTCTTTTTGTACTATGCACGTTGTATTCATTAAGAATTTTGTAGGATTTAAATACATTTCCTCGTGCAAATATGAATTGTGAATTCCAATCCTTTCACTGATGTTGTTTTACTAACACATGTTGTGTTGTCTATGTACAAGGAGTCAAAGATCTGAATGGAGAAGATAGTTGAGCGTGTTGTCTGCGGTCTTTACGTTTAAGAGCATCTTTTTGTCTTAAACTAAAGATATATTGAAATTTCAGATCATCCGGGTTATGCCAGAGAGACATCCTTCACGTCCATACACCACTGAGTTGGAAAGACGCTTCAGGGATGCAGAGGGTGTCCTTGTACAGTCACATCCCGCTGAGGTAAGCTTAAGTTCATGTATCTGTACCACAGCTGTATTTAGATCCTCTTCAAATGAAGTAATTCAATTAGTAAGTGAATTTCCCTCAGACTGTAGGGGTCAGAGGATAATTGATAGGAGATGGATGTCACATTTATCCTATTTATCAATATAGGGAATGAATGCCCTTATCATTAGACAATTAAATACGGCTTCTAGTTAAGCTCCAACAAGATTTCATTGAAGGGGAATTTAGTACACTCAGTGATTGAGTGATGTGCATATGAGGAATATTTTGCAGGGTATTGAGTACTTTGGCAGTTTGTGTAACGGGTGTTGTAAGGACCCAGGAGCAGTAAGACAAACACCAGGGATAGTTTGACTCGAAACTTTATTGTCTTCGGCACACACAACAGAGAATATTTACAGGAAAACAGCGGCAGGTTCTCGTGGTCGGGGACAGAAGGCTGAGTGAGTTACCGCGGCAGAGGCAAGGCGGGGTAGTCCAAAACAGGCAGGGTCGGTAACGGGGAATCAGTCCAAGGGGGTATGCGGGAAAGTCTTGCATGGAAGCGGCGATCAATCTAGCAGTGCGTGCGTGCATGTGTGAGGCAGGGGTTTAAATAGTGGAGGAGGCAGAGTGAGCAGGTGAGAGTAATGAGCTGATGAGGTGAGTGTGACTAGAAGGTGCACTGAATGAACTTATTAGGTGAGTGAGAGGTGGAAACAACTGGATAGTAGTGGCACAGCTGTGACAGTTTGATAACATTTATTTAATCTGTGCTGGAATTTTATCACAAACCTGATATTCCGGTCCAGTGTATTCAGTTGTACCATGTGTCCTCGTCGACCTGTGTTATACAATGTTGGCCCAATTGTAGCAGCGATTAAAATTTCAAAAACACTTTATAGGCTGATAGTTCCCAAAGTGGGGTCCGGGAATCCCAGGGGTCTTTGAAAGGGTTCCAGGGGGTCCCCAACAAAAATGATTTTCGCTATAATTCCAATCATAAGTAAAACAATGACAGAATGTCTCTATTTTGGCCATGGATTCCATACACTTTCTGTAATAATACAACTAAAAGCAAAAAATAGGGGGACCTTGGGACAAAATATAATCAAATTGGGGTCTGTGGTCTAATTTGTGTCAGTTTAGAAGTCCTTGACGTGAAAAAGTTTGGGAACCACTGTTCTAGATCACTACCGATGACCTATCAGTCATCATCCCCACAGAGCCCTGTGGCTGCTGTTGAAGTAGACTGAGTCTAAAGTCAGCAGACAGCAAGTCTGGACAGATCACAGCCAGATCACAAGTTGTGATATTTATCTGGTTTGGTCTTACTTAAGTCTCAATATTATTGAATGCAGACAGAAGGATTCACAAATGTATTTTATATATAAATGAACCTCTCCACAAAAATATTTTTCAACAACAACTTCAAGAAACTGAGTTCTGATGCCACCTTAATTGATATGTTATGCTGAGCTATCACAATAGGATGCATGCTTTGACATGTGTGTTTTGGCCTTTATCTTGAACTCTCTTCAATGACTCCTTGTGATATAATCCACATCTGTGATTAAGTTAGTTTTTTTAATATTTTGGGCCATTTCAATTTATATAAGTTAATTAGTCATGCTAATAAAGAGGTAGGAAGTAAGAGTCATTTAACTGGAAATACGTTTTGTTTGCATTTAATCTTATCTTGGTTCGGTAGTCATACAAAACTCATCTTTACTGACTCACTAAATATAGTGTCTTCATACATTAGTTGTGCAAGCTTGAAGTTCACCAAATCTCGAACAGTGAAAACATCAGAGTTTATAAATAATACGTATAGTTACTTCCATGATAACCAACTCTGTTTACAATTCTTTTACTTTCCTGCTATATAAACTGGATATCGATGGTTCTATCTGCATGTTTCCTCTCAACCAAAGCACAGACCAGCAGCCTGTCTGTCCCAAGAGAGGGGAGAGATCCCCTCCTGTCCTTCTTGTCTCTCACCCAGGACACTGATTTGTGCTGAAATGTTGAGTTTTATTGAATCCATTCATTTATTATGCACATAGGTACACATTTATATCTTCATTAGTCTGTCATGATAGCAAGGTATATCTATGTTGTGTAATTGTTTCATTCATTCCAACTTTATTTGATCAGGTTTTAGTCAGTGATCTATATCAAACTGTTTGGTACCGTTCTGCAGCTGAGAAAGCCCAGCTTTCAAATATGGAAGAATTGAATAGAACTTGTATTATTTCTGTAAAATTTTTAATGAAAGAAACAAGATAGTTGATAGTAGGATGGGGGTTGTTTGTCTTTCACGCCAAACCCTACACCCCTTTCTCAAGAAGATAAAAGCAAGAAGAAGTAAGATGAAACACTCTTCTTCTCTTTGATGCTGAAGTCCTGCTGGCCAGGAATGTGGGGAGAGAGAGCAGTTCTTACCGTCTGCAGGCCCGAAGGTCCACTGCGAGCCGAAACATCTCCACAGGCTGAGAGGACATCCAGAACCTGAAGGAGCCTCTTCTTTTCTTGGGTTCTAATATACTACAAATATGATTTAGCCTTTTATTAGTTATTATTTATCAAAACTGCTACAAGCAATAACGCTACACTATACTAACATTGCAGCTGCTCCATCGATACTCAAATGGCAAAAATGCATAAATACGGCAGTGACATTTTTTTTTGTCCCATAGCACACAGTTTTTATGTACAAAGATGAGGTACTAGAGCTCTGGGTGCCCACAGACGGCTACAATTTTTTTTCTGATTCAACAAAGTCAGGATGGAAGTGACGGCAGGAGGAGAATCTTGCTTTCACAGCACAGCGTCACACAAATATCTCGCTGGAGTTGAAATATTTCAACACGATACGCGATTGACAAAACTTTTGTGTATTAGCCTCATTAGCTTAATCCGTTGTAGTATGTTAAGTTGGTGGATTCTATTAATTTTCTGTGAACTCAGATCAAACTGTCAAACTAGGCAATGCTAATCAAATCTGAATCACAGTTCTGTTGCTGTGTGGCCTATTTCTCGCTTCAAATGTTTTCAGAAAACATATTTTAGTGTACAGTTTAGCTGTGAAGTTTGCTTTGTGTTAGGCTCAGAAATGGGGGTTTCACTTTAAGGAATTGAGATCATTTTTAGATAAGAGAAGCAGTGGAGTTAGCTTCAATGAATGACGTCACACTTCATGACCGCCTTTACTTAACATACTCACTTTGATTGTCAGACATGGACAATCGCCTGTTTTTGGCGAATTTAACAGTTGGACACTGTCACCATATTGACGATTAAGATGACTATGCGACCAAATAAGAGCATAATTAAGAACAACCAAATATCCAAGATGTTGTGAACTCACATGTCATATGATTTAGGTCCTGCTTGGTTGAATGCAAGTTGTGAGCACTCACAGCCTGAAGGGACAGACTAAGGCTAAAGAAGTCACAAGTTACACTTTGAAATATTATGGATTTGTAAATGGTTGTAAGATGTAGAAATAAAGTGATTCGCAGCTCAGTTAAGTTTTTGTGCTTTTTCTTCTATTTTCCATCAATGAACCACCATACTTATCACATTTTGAAATGCTCACAGTGAATGTTTTTTTTCACGCTGCTGTTGATTAATTTCCTCTGAGATATTGACATTTATAGATGCAAGGCGCCTCATGGATCATGGATTTAGCTTACTTGGCCGCCTCTCACTCGTTTGTTTTTCTGTGTGTGTTTGTCGTATGTTTCCAGGTGTTCCAGCAGGAGCTTGCAGAGACTATTCAGGACACTTGGGATCATTTAACAGAAGAGCCTGACAGAGTGCCAGAGTCCAGCTGGCGAATTGCTTCACCAAAGACTCTCCTGGATAACTTCTGCCACACCATGCACTGCCTCTTCAGCGAGTGCTTTGCCAGCACAGAAGAACCGTGGGACTGTGAGTATAACAAAGGAAACCCTCTGGTGAAAATGCAGGCTGTAACTTAAGATTTAGAATAGAAAACGTACTATAATAACAGAGACTAACACACCAGCAGTGCAGGCTGTGTAAAGAACAATTTAAAGCAAAGAATAGCAATTCTAAACTCCCCTGGCAGGACATTCTAGTATGTTGGAGTCCTGATGTCAAAGGGCTCATCAACATTTGTTTTTCATCTCAATTTTGGGTCAGCCATTGGCCAAGACACTGTGTGGAGCAAACATGTTGTAGTGGGTGTCATTTCTGCATGCCACATGCCACAACCAAATGAAGTGTGAGATTAGATTTGACAAAAACAGAATACTATTAGCCTAACTATGGAGGATGTTGAGTATGTGTCCACCTTTGCTCTCAGCAAGCTCAAGATGTAGAACTTTATTTGTCCAAAATTACTTTATAGCTCTACTCCACTACTCTCAGTGGCAAATATTGTACTTTTTACTCCACTGCATTTATCTTACCGCGTTTGTTACTTTTCAAATTCAGATTAATACAAAATATAATCAATATGTATATTAGGATTTTATTAAATCAATAAAGCGTTATTGGTTGGTTCACTATAGTTACCCAGCAGTATGTGAAGTAATCTACTGTAAATAATAAGTGCCTCAGCAGAGCAGACAGTTAGCACTAACTGAGATGGGGAAATTAGCTATAGACAGTTTTTTGTACCATGCTGTAAACGTGTTTTTGTTTTCTGTGGTTGGACATTTTAAAATGGAATTCAATGGGGATATTCTTGCTTTTGGAGCCAGCTTCAATTAGCCATTTGCGGAACTGCAGTCTTTGGCACTTTCGAGATGGAGTTAAAGCTTCACAGCACTCTGCTGGGTCCAAAAATGATCCCACACAATCACTTATCGTCTTGTTTTGCCTGTGACTCACACAACCTTTTGCCGTATGTGTGCTGCAGGTTTAGCCCATAAACATTTTTTTTTAAGATTTTCATGGCACATCTGCTCCTCGAACGGTCCGCATCCATTACGTCTTTAATGTAGCCTGACCGTTATACTTTTGTACTTTTACTTAGGTGCCAGTTGATCCTCTGGCCCATCTTGCTTGTTGTTAGACATTGTGATCAAAATAATTGAAATGCAAGAAAACGTATTTGTTTATCAAAACAAGATGTTGTTTTTTCATTGTATTCTACATGTATTCCAGTCGTCAGGCTAAGCTAAATTAGCCGGCGGCTGGTGCTAGCAACAGATTCAGCATATAGACATATGAGTGGTATCCATCTTCTCATCCAACTCTCGAAAATAACATATATTGGTATTTTCACCAAAATACCAAATTAGTATACTACCATTACTTTGAGCACTTTTTTGCATCATTCAGAAAAACATACATTGCATGTATACTACAAAAATTCTAGACTTCATCCTGCATGTATTTGATGTATATGCAGTGGCCAAATATTCAAGATAAATACAACCAAATGAAAGCAGAAGCAATACAAATATTCGTCTTAGAAAACAATAATAAAGAGGTTTCATTTTGCACAGGGGTTGGATTGCATGTGTGCTTGTGTTATTTATTTAGTAGTAGTATTTATTCTTATGGCCTCAGGAAAAAGTTGTTCCTTAGTCTGCTGGTGGTATTTTTATGTGTACTTTGCTTGCACATAAAAATAGTAGGACGTGTGTGTATGTTTTGGTAATGAACCAGATAATAACATGCTACAGTGGTCCGAGTCTCTGTGGTTTAGGCACCATCTTGTGAACACCACCAATATTAACTCCTCAAAAATTTGAAACCAGACAGTAAATTTGAACTTAAGTTGAGTAGCTCTGAGTTGCCTCAGGTTCATATCCATAAAAATTGCCCGTTAAACATATGGCGAAATAAAAAGGAATATTTATGGGAGTTACTCAAGTTTCTCTTCTTGTCTACTTTTCAGACTGCAGTGTTTCCCATTGGAGGAAAGGCAGATAGACGGACTTACATACCAAAAGCTGAGAAAAGGCCAGCTGTGTGAAGTTGACACCGTTGATACTGATGATGGGGGATTGGTATGATCATATCCCTTGAGAGGGGTAAAAGGACAATCCACACGGAAACAAGAAGATTCAGGTCTGATTTGTGGACATCAATAAGTCTTTGCCAAATCTATCTAATATGATGAAGAGACAAACACTCTCCATCAGACAAAGCAGACTGATATTGTATGTACAGCAACGATATTAATGGCGATTTCACGAGCATAATGGACTTTTTGCTAAAATGTAATAAAGCTCATTTGGGAGTAAAAGCTCATACTCTTAAGCTCTTCCAACCCTCTCTCTCAAAGGAAGTCTTAAGTATTTTTCTCTTGATGGCAGTTCAGCTTGATGCTTTGATACTTGGGTTTCACGTTTTGGAAGAGATTTGTTCGTGTTGACGTGTATGGACGAAGCTGATCATCAAATGGATGTCACTGTGGCTTTGCCAAATCTCTGCCCAAAAAGCCTGTGATGTGCTCCGTTGGACCTGCAAGGTTCACCTCAGAAACCAACAAGAAGCAGGAAGAGAGACTACACATTGTAGTGCTATTATATTGAGAAACGTCTGCTGACTTGTACCATAGCCAGACGCCTCTTTTAGCTAAAGCAAGCGCAATGTACATGGACTGAACTTCAAACCTACAGGCATACTGTTACTACTGTTTAATTATTCAGTGAAACAAGACAAGGCATGTGAGACCAAACATAACTTAATACATTGGGTGACATGGCAGGATTAAAACATCCATTGGGTGCAGTGTAAAAGTAAAAGCAAAGGTCCGATCCCAGGGTGTGGGGTGTGTGTATTGAAGAAGGTACCGGGCAGTCTATTTTGAAATTTGTTATTATTTTGCGTTGTGGAAAGGGTTTCCCTCCCTTAGCCACTACTGGTTTCTCTTCCCTCTTCAGTTGTTGACAATGCATTTCTTATCTGCAGCTTAAATTTAAAGCATTATTATCTAGATCTGTGCCGTAGGCCCAAATTGCATATATCCAAAAGCTGTCAAAACAAGTTGGTTCATGTTTGCCCCATTTCATGCATCTCTCTCCGTCCAAGTCATGCAATTTTTATACTTACCGTTCAAACCTTAAAGGATTACCAACAGCATTTCAAATATGAAGTGTCCTCGTAGTCCCACTTGTTTGTAGTTTATACTCAGGCCCCAAATCTATTTATTCTCTTAATACAGTTATTCTCTTAACAAATACATTTGTCTTAAACAGTTAAATAATCGAGAAAAAAATAAGTACAGTTCGATGTTTGTTACATTTTGTCACAGAAAACTAAATTGGCATCCAAGGATGGTTTGAAGGATTTTCAGTTGCTCCTTTCAGAATTTCGGCTCTGAACATGCTAGAAATGAAAGCTGTGTAACCTGAAACTCAACATCCAAATCTTTTACACTTTCAACAAAAAGATTTTACTTTAAAGCAAATCAGTTTCTTCTGTCTTTGTTTTCTGTATGAGATTGCGTCTCAGGTTGTGTCGGCTTTACTGTTTTATTTCTTTCCACTCGAGCAATTCAACTCGAGGCCAGTTTGTTGCTGTTACATTAAATGTATTAAATTGTCAGGTTTTGAGGAATACAATATATTCATACATATCATATAGATCATACTTTAGTTTAAGAGGCACTATGATTATGAGGCTCATCGTATAAAGGATAATGCAAATCTGTGAAAAACAAATTGCATAATGCGTTGGCCATATGAAGGACACTGTAGGCCTTCTTGAAGTCTTTTGAACAGCTGGGGCTCAAGATTCTTGCTCACTACTTCATGCACTTGTGGTTTTGCTTGCGTGAGTTGCATTGGTGCCAACTTTTATCTTGATGCGTCTGGTTCAATGCCTGCAAATCCTGACTTGCTGGTTTAGTCAGTTTATAGTGTACCAATTCATTATCCCTTCATTACTTTGGGCCAAATGTGTTTATTGTGATAGCATATTTCCAAAGCAGCTGTTACCATTGTTGTTTTCAAAAACACACTTATTAAAATCTTGTGCAAATTGATTTTATTTTCTCTTTCAACATTAAAGAGTACACTCATACTCGTTATTTCTGTGTTAAGACATGAAATGACATAGTAACTAACTACTATGCTGTAAGATTTCGGTGTTAACCAAAAATGAAAGAAGATATACATTCAATCAAAAATCAACCACAAATGAAATATACAAAGTAGCAACAATTATAATTTGCATTACATGAAATGGCACCTACACTACACAATTTAAATAAGTAATGTGGTGTTTCACTTATAAACTTCAGGTATTTGTTGCACAGAAAGTCTTCCAAGGCTCTTTGTGTCACTCTTCAGGGGGAGAATGTTTACTGATTATGTTACACAGCAATTGCTTGAGTCGTGTCTGAAAGGAACTTTAATGAGAACAGCTTTAATTATGTAATAAATGAATGATAATTATTGGTGTATTGCTCTAAATGCAGCCCATGTATTTTTATTGTATTTCATTATATATAACTGTATGGTTGTCTGTTTGTAAACATAAGAGGTGTATTCAAAGATCCCTTATTGTGAACATAAAGAGCTATTTCCCAAAGCTGACTGCAACAACAGAGATGATAAATGCAAACACATGGATGGTTGTTGTCTGTGGTTTTTTTTATACACAAGATATTGAATTTATTTATTTTGTTTGAATGTATTATGCTATGTGACAATACTTTTATAAAAGAAAGAAATATTAAATAGCTATTTTTATTAATTAACCCTGTGTGTAGTGTCCAGTGATTATTAAAGTGATAGTCCTTAATTAAATACGTGTCCAATTGTTTTGCATAATAAAATGCAGGTCTTTAAATCTTGTTGGTCAAATTATTTCTCTCAAACCTACATACGGTATATGTACGTTGAGCCATTACTTAAGTAAAATAAGTATCATCTGTGAAATGTACTTGTCGTGAAAGTACTCATTATGCAGCATATTGGACCCTCTCAGATTATATTATTGTATTATTATTATTGCTGTATTAACATGTAAGTAACATTTTAATGGTGCATCTGGTTGGGTGGAGCTAATTTAACTATTGGATATACTGTTGGACAGATAATTAGAAGTTAAAGCTATAGCAATAAATCATATTTTATAAACTGATCTTTTATTTTAATCTGTAAAGTAGCAAGTTTCTCATCACTTGAAACAGATCAACATTAACTTTGCAGGCTATACAAAAGATTGGAAAAAGATCAAAAAGCGGTGCTCTCATTGGAGTCGATCACAATTTATTTTGCAGCGATAAAGTACAGTTTGTCCATGTGTACTTGCCGTAGCATATCCAGAACACACCAGAAGTAAAAGGGGGCCAGAGTAAGAGCAGAACAAATCCTAAATATTCCATTTCAGGGCAAAGAACGGTGCGAAACTAAACAAATGACAAAACAATATAATTTCAGAAACAATATCCCAAACCCCGTGGTTCGTTTACACTTGTGGTAGGCTTAATTAGGTGTTCGGCTCGTCAGTGAGCATTTTATTTTGAAAACACGACCCGGAAGTCTTGTGTTAACTCATGTCCGGTCCATTTGACAGTCGTGCGTATCTGTTTGCAGGAGTTGTGTCATATACAGTGACCTGGTTTCTGGAAACAACGGACAATGGCATCCGGCGACGGAATTCAGATACCGAGCCGTCTCCCGCTGCTGCTGAGCCATGAAGGGGTGCTCCTCCCGGGCTCCACCGTTAGGTTCACCGTGGACTCTCCGCGGAACATGCACCTGGTCAGCCAGCGGCTGTTGAAGGGGACTTCTCTGAAAAGCACAATCATAGGAGTAATCCCCAACACCAGAGACCCAGAACACGACACCGACGACCTACCCACCTTACACAAGTAATACACATTTAGCTAAATAAGGTATTCAAATGAGTGCTGATGTTGTTTTGTAGGTGAGAAATATACCAGGTGACTGTACAGGATCTCCAACCTGGGGGTCAGGACCCCTCCACGTAGACAGACCTTATGGGACAAGAGGTAGACATATAGTTTGGCTCCCCAAAAGTATTTTATATTTTATAACCATTATGTAACAATGTGTCCCAGTTCAAACTAGGCTACATGTAGCCTAGTTTCATAAGGTTAGGTCTTTAGCTGGCCTTTCAGTGGCATGGCAGACTTTATGAAGCTTATCGGATGTTTTATTTTCCTTTTTTTATGTTTCTAAAAGTCATTTCATGTCATATTTAATCTAATAGTTATTTTTGTGTTATGCGCGGTTCATATTTTTCGACAGAAGTTGCAGTGTGTGATTTGTCCTTAAGAAAAGTCCACAGTCATTCCTCACAAATTGGATGAAGTTATGTCGTGTGGTTTGTCTCGCAAGCATTTCCAGGAAAACAATGTCCTCATTAGGCTCACTCTATTTTAGCATGGCAGCAGTCTCACAAATTGGGAAATTGAGATGTGAAATGCAACATTCATACTCTTTCCCATATAATCAATAATGAGGGTATAAACTCATGTAAACTCATGTATTAAATTGTCAGGTTTTGAGGAACCCATTATTATATTTGTATGTATTCTTATCTGTCTGTCTATCATTTTTAAAGACTGGAGGGGCAAATAATAGTCCTTTGTCGGCGAGTTTATGAATACCATAAGTGGATAAACAAAAATGTCATGTTTATATAGTTATTTTAAAATGATCCATGTCCAGTATTACATATATTTGTAGAGGCTGATGAGTTTCTGCTATACACAATCTAACCTCCAGTGTTGAAGAACTAAAATTTGATCGCAAAGAAAAAGGAAAGTTTAGCAGTGGCCCTGCAGCCAAGAGAGGTGGACTTTAACCAGATGTCTACCAGGTCAGTCTGGTTACTAAGTAACAATTGTTTGCCTCTGGATAGTTTGTCTCTCTTTCAACCGCAGCTACTGGAAAAGTGTGCTGAACTTTGGGTTTGGCACCCAATTTGGCATTTTAGCACTGCACTGTGGCCTCCCACTGCTCCTAAATGGCTTTTAATCGATTAAAGGCTCCAGGATGCAGAAGGTGGAACTTATAAACAAAAGGAACGGAGACAATCTGATGGCCCCTGTTCCTTGAGTTGTTGTGGTAAACCACAGCAATGTGGCATATATGTTAGGGGGAAAGAGGGATATAATGCTGGTAATCCAATCGTCTTTTCCCTTTTACGCTACAAACGCCTCTACTCTGTGGTGGCTGCCACTTTATGTAACATCCAGGAATTTATGTCCCAGCCACGGCAAGCCCATAATCAGAAACACTTCTTATATGTGTGTGGAAGGGGGTTGTTGAGTCAGGCACCATCGCCATAAGCTGCTGATCGGTGAATGGATGCGTAGCTAGAAGTAGCACAATGTCCTGCTGCACTGTCCTGCTGCACCGTCATGCTGCACCGTCATGCTGCACCGTCATGCTGCACCGTCATGCTGCACCGTCATGCTGCACCATCATGCTCACTCACAGTCAATGCTGAGCATTGAAGAAACTATTGGAGCTCTCACACTAATAGATTTCCCAATTTTGTGTCAGTAAATTGTGGGGATCTCACATCTCAGGCTACCACATACTACAGCACACCTGCTGATTATAATAAAGTTATTTGATCCGAAGCAGGAAGTCATCGAGAGGTCCTGACCAGATCCACAGTGTGAAGACTGAATCCGAACAAACTTGAAACAATCATGGTCGATTATTGTTTACTTTGAGTTAAAGCTCTGGACAGGCCTCCTCTAGTGAGTTGTCTGTCATCACCACCTCCTCTGTCTCACTCTCACTTTCTCTGTCTCTCTGTAGAATTGGTACAGCAGGGATAGCAGTGCAGGTGGTGGGCAGCAACTGGCCAAAGCCCCACTACACCCTCCTCATCACTGGATTGTGCCGCTTCAGCGTGTCAACTCTGCTGAAGGAGCGACCCTTTGTCCTGGCGGAGGTAAGCTTTATTCAAAATCGGACAATAGTTAATTTAATCAACAACCCCGTCATCATTCTTGTGATGTCTCACGGTAAATGATTAAAACTGCCCTGTGGGGGGTCCTTGTGCAAATGCATGAGAGAAACAAAACAGGGACCCATTCATAGAGAAGTTGGTCCATAGTGGTACTTGAGGTCTCTAACCCAACAGGGAACCTTTAATAAACTGACCAGTGCAACTTGTGTTAGCCAGTACTTAAAGGTGCCCTGTGGAGTTTTTGTGCGAGCAAAAACAAGCAAAAAAAGTTAATGTTTACATTTAGTGTTTTCTTTGGGCAGTACCGCTGCCGACCGTCCATCGGCAGAATGGTGTCAAGCCAGCAGCAGTGCGTCGTGTCACCCCCTTTCGTGCACGTGTACGCGTCTTTGTGCGATTGCATCAATTCAACCAAAGCGGGGACCCATTTTGTAAAAAACACAATACTCCACAGCAGCACCTGTGGTCAAAATGTACCATCAATCTCCTGATATTGCTATTTCCAATGAAACCGCGACAAAAGGTGCATTCCTGATTGGGGGCGTCCTTACTCGTAGCTTTATTTTTATTTTCCAGTATAGGACCAAAACACCTGTCACTCAGTATTTAACACATGCAGATAAAATGAATTGCAGGTGGAGCAGTTGGATAAACTGGAGCAGTACACGACCCCAGTAACAGAGGGTGCCACGGCCAAAGGTGGAGAGCTGGGGGAGCTGTCCCACAAGTTCTACCAGGCTGCTATACAGGTGTGTGTGTGTGTGTGTGTGTGTGTGTGTGTGTGTGTGTGTGTGTGTCTAGCTTGTGTATGTGGAAGAGAAAGAGAGGTAGTAAACAAGAGAAAAAAAAGAAGAAATCTCCAGATTACTTGATTAAGTTAAAGGATTTGGCTCAATCATGGTTGAAGGACCACAAAATGTCCCACAAACATGTCCCAATTTACTGCTTGTTGTCCTGGACTTACAAAACAATGTATTTTTTATAGTGTTATTTTTATTTACCTTATTTTTTTTGGCATACCAGAGGTAAGCAATGTGAAATAATTCAATAACATGTTCTGACAATTACATAAAAAATGAAATAAAACAGAATAAATGACAAGAAGAGAAGGAGCGTGTTGTCATTCATACACAGACAATACTTTTTCTCCAGATGAGATTCCTCAACCCAGAAATGATGGTTTCTGTTCAGATCCCATGTGGGTTTAGCAATGGTCAGATATAAAAGAACACTGGAAGGGTTGTCCTTCAGAGAACTCACAGCAGTGTGACATTTATTAAGAGAATGTGAAAGAATTCGGGTTGATTCTACATCCAGCTTCTGCGGTCGCATATGCTAGAACATGAAAAGCTTGTTTGCATGTACAGCGAATATTTCCTCTCCACTTGTATTTGAACACCCAGTGACCATAGTATTTTTTGTCATTTGTTGTCGACATTACTGAACACATAATAAAACATACATTTTGTTGTCAGCCAAGCGTTTGAGGCGTTAAGTTCAACAAGCCGTTGATATTTTGTGTCAGAGCTTGACTGATAGTGCTGCTCGTACACTTAATGGTCGTGAAGTTGTTCTTGTTCCTAACTTACATCCATGACTAATTGAGCCTCTTCCCTCCAGCATTACCACAGAAACAACTTGAAAGGATTAGTTATTATCTCCGGCAGGAAGATCATGAGATTGGTTGTGTGTGTGTGTGTGTGTGTGTGTGTGTGTGTGTGTGTGTGTGCTCGCATCCGTGTTTGTATTTGAGTGTGTGTATGTCCATGTCCGTGAGTGAGTGTGCAGGTCCACGGCTTATCTCTCATTCTGCTGCAGCAAACTGCACAATATTTTGTGTGGTAAGTTATGGCTGTGTGGTTGAAGGCCCTCTCGTGGTTACAGTGTTTCACACCTTCTTAAAACACCTTTTTATTGCCTGTTTTATTCTGCCATTGGCTGCCTGCCTACTCCTCACTAACTACTCTTAACTGGGGCCGCTAATGATAACACAGTGATTTACAACCCCAGGTATACATTACTCCACTATATCGTTACATAGCAAATAGTGGTTTGCTGCTATTATAATGTTCAGAATGTTAAATATGGCTCTTTTTTAAAGTTGTCCTGTGGAGTTTCTTAAAGAGAAAGAAAAGTTATGTTACATTCAGTGTTATTCTCCAAAACACTAAGGTCTAAATGTTTTTTAAGTGTTTTGTTGTCCAGCATTGTTTACATTTGTTCTTACTAGTGAATAGTAGTTATTCTTCTCTGCCTTTGCTGGTGCATTGCAGCATTACCTTGCAACACTGTGCACACAAATATCCCTCAGGATGAAAACAGATCTTTCTTATTTGATCTTATCTTGCTTTGGGAACACCTGCAGGTTGCTGGCGTTAAGTCGACAAGCCTATAACTCAAAGTACTTACGAGATGATTCATCATCTAATGAAAAAGCTTCATCGTAAATCTTTGCTTAATTATTTATTCCTGAGCTGTACCAGAACTCCTGGAGAACTCTGGAATGTCATTTAAAGAAGTGCAAATCAAAATCAAACAGAGGGAAAAAATAAGTAATACACTGTGATGGATAAAAAAAAAAAAAGCCTTATTGTGTCATAAATCAAATTTCAAATTGTGTGTGTGTGTGTGTGTGTGTGTGTGTGTGTGTGTGTAGTTGTTGGGTATGTTGGACATGTCAGTTCCAGTGGTGGCTAAGTTCAGGCGTCTGCTGGACAGTCTGCCCAGGGAAACTCTACCTGATGTGGTAGCCTCCATGATCCGCACCTCAAACAAGGAAAAACTACAGGTGAGATGAACTGGTGGGTCTGTGTCACCCAACTTTTAAACTAATTACTTACCATAAAAGAAGAAACAGGATGTGACATACGGTTGAAAGCCACTTATTCTAGGGCTCATAATGTGATTACAGCATCTTACTCGGATGGAATATATTTGTAACTGTTTATGTTGTACTAATCACAGGGAAAATGTGTGCAATGTGCCACTTGTAATAGAATTTACAAAGGGATTGCGCCCCGATTTCGCAGCTGCTAAACCTGCGCAAATAAGACAAAAATAAACCACATAATTCTCAAAGCACTCTCACAGGGTGGAATGCACTACTAACTGTGCTGTCAAACAAATAGCGTCTCGGTGTGCCTGTACCATTTGCATGTATTTCAATTAAGTAATATGCATACATTTGGTGCAAAATTGGCCATTTTTCTATGCAAATGAGCCTCATATCAAAAACAGTCCAATTCACAAAGATCAGCGCTAATAGCCACACTCAGTGACGGTATAATTATTGGCGTCTTCAGAAAGTTGGTGGTAACTGAAGTGCATTTATACGGGATGTCGGGCACAGACTTTCTAGTGATCACGGCAGCATTGAATGCTATTTTTTGTCTTTTTTTCCTCCTTTCCTTTCTCTTGCTTCAAATCATGCCATGTTCTTTTACAGTCTTATGTTGTAATTTGGAAAGTGCTGACAGACAGACTGGGATATCAAATCTAAAATAGGGTTTCTCTGTCAATTTAAATTCCTTGCCTGAGTCTTTGAGGAGGGCCTCTGCCCCTCGTCGGTTAGGACCTGGTTTTCTCTCTGCTGTTGTTCTGCCTGCTGTGTTCTTGATGCTCAACAGATGTTTGTAATTGTCCATGTGGCAAAGAAAAAATGTTGCAAAAACAATCAAATTGCATCAGCTGCAAAAATGTATGGGCACTGTAATATTATCAGCACAGTTCTGTTTGTGAATCGGACCTTGAGATCGTTCTCTCTGAATTGGCCCCTTGGTGTGCCTGGGTTGGATCTGTAGGGGGAGAGGAGTATTGGAATATCTGCCACAGTCTTTTTTTAGAGCTACTACCGAATGGTGCCAGTGAGAAAAAACGTCTCATACTAGATACATTAGAGTGGGCTGAATGTAAATATTTTCCCTGAGGTGAATGCATTTTGAAATGAGGTTTTTGTATCTCCATGTGTGCTGGAAAGGTCCTGGATGCGCTGACCTTGGAGGAGCGATTTAAGAAAGCTCTGCCCATGTTGACCAGACAGATAGAGGGACTAACACTGCTGCAGAAAACCAGGAAAATAAGTCCTGAAAAGGAGAAGAGGGTAACAAACGTTTGCATTTATCCTTTTCCTTTCAACCGTGTCTGTATTTATATGCCTGTTCACACCTCTCCGTGTCTCATCCATTCAGGTGTTATCAGTGCGTAAAGGTGGAGCGCTCCGGGGCCGGCAGTTCAACCTGGAAGAGGAAGCTGAAGATGAGGATGGCGATGACACTGCAGTCTTGGAAAAGAAGGTCCACGCGGCCAAGATGCCTGAAGCCGCTCTCAGAGTTTGCCTCAAAGAGCTCAAGAGGTGACCTCGCCCGGATAAACCCTGTCATATGTGTTCTCTCTGTCCTAATCATCTGTAATCATCTGTGAAATGTAATTATTTAACATCTGCAGTTTAAAATATTCCTTTATTAGCAGTGGCTGCTTTCTTGGGCAAACTTTACCTTTGATTGCACTGTTTAAAAAAAGCTAATATTTTTGGTAAAAGTAATGGCACATGTTGATGGTGAATCAAGATCATGTACCACTAATTAGATTTCAAAAGAATAAAGCTGAATTATTTTGTTTTACTAAGAGTCCAACATTTTAAGGGGAGATGCTACAGGTGATTAGTCCAAAACATTATGTTTAAATAGGCAAATGAGGCATTATCTTGCTATCTATCTATGCTAACTTTTATTGAATTTAGGAGAAATCTTCAGACGCAAATAGATAAACACCTACATGTCTTTTTTTGTTTTTTTTTATTCTTTCCATTTGCCTGAGAGAAAACATGTTTTGGAAGCAAAATAGTCCAAAATCTCATTAATCTCATTCATCTGTTTTCAGATTGAAGAAGATGCCTCAATCCATGCCTGAATTCTCTCTGACCAGAAACTACTTGGATTTGATGGTAGAGTTGCCATGGAGCAAAAGCACCAAAGGTAAACAAAGCTGAAGGCGACCCTAAGCGGAGTCCAGGTCCAGAAGCCACATATGTCACATACCTCAGATTAATACTATACTAAAGCCAGCCTCATGTCTTATGCACTCAGTCTTGCATTTTCCTGGTTCGCTGCTTTTGCTTTGAAGCATGTCTGTTGTCTTTGGACTGACCAAATTACGGTATTCGATTTTTACAGATTTAAATATTAAACGCCAATTAATATGATCAAATAATTTAATTTCACGGCCAGTCAGCTGAAAGAAAGGATGAAACCGTTTTGACACATTCGTTACTGAGGTTGCCTCTCATATTCATTCATACCCTTAACTCGGATTACTGATATATATCCACAGTGTAGTCACCTATACTGAAACTCATCAATATTTGTATTATGACGAGGTGTAATGTGAAAGATGTCTCTTCCCACAGGAAGTTGTCACTAGCCTCTGTAGTTCAGCTCAGCTCGTCTTCTGGCTTAATGGCCGGTTACGGGATTGGCCACTGCAGCGTGACATCACTTTATGTTTCTCCAAAGGTTGATTCTGTTTCAGCTTTTCAGTTTATTTTGTTTTTTTTGCCATCCCCTGCTGTCCCCACCGCCGCAGCCTAAACTCACTAGCCACATTCAAATGAATGGGAGGACTGGCTGACACTGCAAACCCTGATTTAGTGTGAATGTGAAAGGAGTGTTGTAGCTCATTTGTTTAGGTTTACCGGCTCATGACTTTTACTGTCTTGGCTCAGTTTCACCACTCTCATCCAATCTCAGTTTCCATCCACAGCTGTTTTCAGTCAAAAATACTGTGATTAACTCACTGCACGTCGCCTGCTTAGCACCAAACAGCAGAGAGAGAGAAAGTCAAAGACAACTCACTGGTGAACACAGTGTGGCATTTATAAAGTAAAGAGTCAGCTATTTCCAACAACAGCTGGTGGAGAGCAAACCAGAACTGAAAGGAGAGGGAATATTAAACTTATATTGTTGTCAAAAACACAAATCCAACTGAAGCTAATTTTGATGGGTGTTTAACTGTTTGCTGACATATGAGCCATACGAACTTAAAAAAGTTGATAAAATGTCAGTGTTGCCTTTACAGCGTGTTCTGCTGCCCCTTCCTTGTCAAATCATTCCTTAATGCAGCTTTAGATGACGTACTTTACGCCTCTTAGAATACGCCTCTTAGAATACGCCTCTTAGAATACACATCCTGTATCACTCGTGTCCACAAGTTGTTTCCATCAAAAGTCCAAGGCAATAATATTTCCCCAACAGAAGCCACACAAAGATATAATGTGGATATCTGTGGTGGCCGACCACAATATCAGAATATCAGCACCCCTGCAAATGGATTTCACAAACTGACAAAACAGCACACGTGTGAGACACAGTCTTTGCAGACTGCCTTGATTACAGATAACCTCAGATGAGTAGAGACTTGAGGGTTCATGTGTTTGCAGGTTCAGGAGTCAAAACCTAAAGTATGTCCTGCAAGTGTTTTCATCTAACAATTTTGGAGGATTGTGTGTCCTTTTTAAAAAAAAAAAAAAAAAAAAAAAAAAAAAAAAAAAAAAGCTTGTTTCTACTCTCCTCTTCTTCCTCAAATTACACTCATCCCTCTTTCTCTACTCCCACCTCACTGTCTTTGTCACTGTCTTTACTAATGCAACTGTTTTCTCCCTCCCTCTGGGATCCATCCATCTCATCCATCCCACCCAACACACACACACACACACTCCTCAGACTGCCTGGATATCCAAGCTGCTCGCACTCTATTGGACAACGATCACTATGCCATGGACAAGCTGAAGAGACGCGTGCTGGAGTACCTGGCTGTTAGACAGCTGAAGGCTTCTTTGAAGGTGTGTCTTAGAAAGACAAAAAGTCAGGGATTTCTTTAATGTACCTCCATATTTATCTGTGAATTTCATGCCGGTGCTTTTGTCTTCAGGGACCCATCCTTTGCTTTGTGGGGCCCCCGGGAGTTGGGAAGACCAGTGTAGGACGCTCCATAGCCAGGACCCTGGGCAGAGAGTTCCACCGCATCGCTTTGGGAGGCGTCTGTGACCAGTCTGACATCCGTGGACACAGGTATCATAATATATCATCTCTACTGGAGAGTCTATAGCAGCAGTAGTAGTGGACAACACAAGTGTGGGTGAGGCCGGCATGATTCATATGAACATGTAAATTAAATAGACATTAAGTCCTGAGTTGTCTCAAAACCAGGGATTTATTGTCTGAAATTAGAGGAGATTCATGTTCTGAAAGCTGAATTTACTGTAGGTGGGTGTTTGTTCTTGAGCAGCATGTAATTCTGTAATCTAGTGTCAGCAGACGGTCAGTGAAACGTTGGCTACAGCAGCTTGCCGCTGCAGTATGAGTCTGTTGGCTCTGTGGATGTGTATTGGAGCACAGCGCTGTCTGCTGCTGAGTGGAACATGAGCTCTCATGATTAAAGTTTATTGATTACATTTGAAATATACAGTTGTGTGAAAAAGTGGTTTGCCCCCTTCCTGATTTCTTATTTTTTTGCATGTTTGTCACACTTAAATGTTTCAGATCATCAAACAAAGTTAAATTTTGGTCGGCCGGCCACTCCTGGGAAGGTTCACCACTGTTCCATGTTTTCGCCATTTGTGGATAATGGCTCTCACTGTGGTTCGCTGGAGTCCCAAAGCTTTAGAAATGGCTTTGTAACCTTTTCCAGACTGATAGATCTCAATTACTTTGTTTCTCATTTGTTCCTAAATTTCTTTGGATCGCAGCATGATGTCTAGCTTTTGAGGATCTTTTGGTCTACCCCACTTTGTCAGGCAGGTCCTATTTAAGTGATTTCTTGATTGAGAACAGGTGTGGCAGTAATCAGGCCTGGGTGTGGCTAGAGAAATTGAACTCAGCTTTCCAAAGATGTGATAAACCACAGTTAATTTATGTTTTAACAGGGGGGGGCAATCTCTTTTTCACACAGGGCCATGTAGGTTTGGATTTTTTTCCCCTTAATAATAAAAACCTTCATTTAAAAACTGCATTTTGTGTTTACTTGTGTTATCTTTGTCTACTATTTAAATTTGTTTGATGATCTGAAACATTTAAGTGTGACAAACATGAAAAAAAAAAAAGAAATCAGGAAAGGGGCAAACACTTTTTCACACAACTGTATATATTTTTCTTAAAAGACTCCTATAGAGTGGTGCAGGAATGAGTCCTAACATCCGGGAATGAGTCGGCATTTCTGCACATCTGGGTCCCTCGTCTGGACGGCAATAGGTTTTTTAGATGCCTGAAAAGTGGTCTGTGGTTAACACAAGCTTTAGAGATTTGAATGTTTCGCTCTACAATATAAAATCCATCAATAGATACCCCTAAAATATGTCATCCCTGCACCACGCTATTGGAGAGGAGTAATGAAATATTTTATGGTGGAATTGCTAACAAGCTTACTTTTTCTAGACTCGTAACACAGCAACACACCTACATCAAACAATTAGCAACATAGTTAGTTATACCACATAAATACCAACACTACAATTATTCAAAATACAAAAAACGCTTTCTCTATCAGTAACTCTATCGAAACGTGGCCGACCTGACTCAATATAAAATCCTTCTTTCAAAACAAAAGCACGTGTTTTCAAACCGAGAGGTATAATAGTCAATCACAACGCATACTAACAGTAGACGGCCTCATACAATAGACAATATGAAAATCATTGGTTTTTTTTTAAGTTCTGTTTCCTTTTACTGTAAAGCACTCAAATGTGTGCATATCTGGCAACATACTGTCTAAAAGTAAGTGAGTCATTTTTACGTTATAGAATGTAAATAATCATAAACAGAAATGCTGCAGTAAAAGCTGCATCAGCAACATGAAATTGCTGCCAGTGATGAACAAAAGGTTCTAAATGTGGAACAAATGAAATACTCAAATTAAGGAAAAAACCCGACGATCCACAGTCATGTTATCACCACGTCACATCTCATGCCCTCCCTTCTCTTACTGCCCACCCCTGGTGTTCTCTGTTACACAATCAATTATCAATGATGCCGTAACCTCAGATGGGGGTCGTCTGTTTCGGTGAAACAGTCTTAATCTTTGTGGAATTGAATGAATTTTAATTCGACAACTGTAAATTTACGCTTTAGAATATATACTGTACATTGATGGTGGAAATAAACGATTACTGTGTTTGTTTTTTCTCACATCATACATTAAGTCAAGTTTATTGCAACACAAACAACAAAATCATGATTGACTGGAGTTTATTGATTGACTCACACTTGCACGGTATCCTATGTAACACGAGTCAGTCAACAAGTCAGATCACGCAGCTCGTCTTTGATCCGCCTGTTTACAGACTTAGTCCCGAATGAGTGTTATCTCTATCAAAACACACTCACACACACACACATTCATCTCGGGTTGGAGAGCTGATCCTGGTGTTTTAAAAGCGAACAGGACAGAGTTGAGAAACCGGATGAGAAACATGTGTCTTGCTAACCAACAGCAGCAGAGTAAGGGATGAATGTTTTATTTGAGGTAGACCGCTCCACTTGTTTGGTTCATACCCTTTATTTGAACCCGAGAAATTGCACATTTCACGCTTTCAGCTTGCAGGTTCCCGACACGTGCTCGCTTTTGAACTTTGTGAGAGCTCTGTGTCTGCGCTCTATTATTACGACAGTAATAATAGAGCTGATCTGCTGATCTGCTTATTGCATTACGTGGTAATGCAATAAGTTGACAAGAGCGGGACCAGCATGTCAACGTGGCATGATCAAATATGAATGTCAAGGTTCTCTGTTTTCACTATTTACACAGCAGATCAGTTTCAAATCATTCTTATTTTCTCCAGACGCACATATGTAGGGAGCATGCCCGGCCGCATTATCAACGGTTTGAAGACGGTTGACGTAAATAATCCTGTGATCCTGCTGGATGAGGTTGACAAGCTGGGGAAGAGCCTGCAAGGAGACCCGGCGGCTGCACTGCTGGAGGTCAGCTCTGTTTTACAGGATGCCTTGTAGTTGTATCTAGGGGATAGGATTAGGGCCACATGTGAAGAGTGGATTTGAGTCCCGATCCTCTTCCATTAGTATCAGATGCCTTCTCTGTTTTTGGACTTCCTGCCTTAATATTTACATGCTTTCAACTTAATCTGCCGGTAGACCTTAGCCTTTGCTAAAATTGCTTCTTCACCAAGTTTTAAACTGTTTTTTTTTTTTTTTTTAAAGTTTGTGTTCCTCCGTTTGTTCTGTGAACCAACCAGCTAATTGGCTAATTGAGATGAACTAAATGAAGTTTGACGAATCACTAAAAACACGCACAATGAAACAGTCTCTCTATATTCCCTTAGGTCCTGGACCCAGAGCAGAACCACAGCTTCACAGACCATTACCTCAATGTGGCCTTTGACCTCTCCCAAGTGCTCTTCATTGCCACTGCAAACACCACGGCGACCATTCCTCATGCCCTGCTGGACAGGATGGAGGTGCTGCAGGTACCAGGTGAGTTTAGGTACAAAGAGTCACTCTCAGGAGTCATCTCTGCAGTCTCAATTTCATCTCGAAGCCAAACTCTTGTTCTGGTGACAAAGCAATTCCCAAACTGAGTGCATCTTATTATTGAGGTTTGTGTAGTCAGGGAGGAGACAAACGAACTGTAGATGATGACTCTCATTACAACCTATAGTCAGGTACAGATGCTTCCTTTGAAATGCATGCTGCTTTGTTTTTGTTACTCTGTATTACACACCGTCACACACAGTATCTGTTGGCTGATAAACGTGCACCTCCCAAGCTTGACCGTACACAGCTACGGTGTCCTGCAACTGCTACGTTGTTTTATTTTATTTGAGTTCATTTTTCATGCATACACAGTGTAAAGACAGGGATGACACAGAAATAAGGAATGTAGAGAAAAACTAAATAGACAAAACGGAACAAGCAAACGACAACAAAACCTCAAAACCTCAAAAAACAGCAGGAGCAGTTTGCTGGTAGAAAGCCAAATCAATCTGATAAAATCTTCGGGCACAAGTTTGTAGTTCGAGGGAAAACAGTATTAATTTAAAAGGTAATTTGAGCACATTAAATATTCAGCAAATGAAGTATCATAGTAGTACTGCGTATGGGTTCAAAATGAGTATAAACCCTTTTGTGGCTCCAAGCTGTCTGAAGCCTGCTCCTCATCTCCGCTTGAGGCTGTGAAAATTCCGAATCCCGCTGTGGCATAAGTTCTCTTTTATTGTGATTAGATAGTATGAGTTACTGCTTTGAGGGAAGGCTTTATCGATGTGTGCGCTCACGTGTTTCAGGCTACACTCAGGAGGAGAAGGTGGAGATAGCTCACCGTCATCTGATCCCAAACCAGCTGGAGCAGCACGGATTAACACCTCAACAGCTGCATATACCACAGGACAGCACACAGGATATAATCAGCAGGTACACACAAATATTCGTAAAAAAACATGAAACTAGCTTAATTTAAAGTAACTTTCACTTTATATTGATTTTGCCGGCCCCTGTGGATGAGAGCGGCAGTGTTTCTGAGCACCAGATTCCCTTAATACCTCTCGTTTTATTGCAGCAGTCTGCTCCATGACGGATGCAGTGTGTAATGAGTGGTCATCAGAAGATGTCGAGTGGTTTCACGGCTATTTGTTTGGAATGATGAGCAGTGATCGGACCTTTTGATCAGATGGAATATCTCTCAACCACATAGTAACCTTTAACAGTAATATTTGTCATTACAACCTACCTACACACCAGCCTGATCAAACTGTCTGGCATGTTTCAAAAATATATCGGCAAACATGGAGCTGCTGATACACGGGCTCTCAGTGGTTTCAGATGGCCGGCAGTGTGCTGCCTCTGAACAACACCTACCTCACTCCAGGCTGGTAACTATAGAAACGGCCAACAGCATGCAGCTGTGGTGCTCATCCTTAGAGGCATACTCCTGATTTTACCGGCTTTATCTCTTTAGAAACCACAAGAAACTGATGAGTTCCATGTGATTTGGGGTTAAGTCAAAGTGAACAAAAGCGTCCTCACATATAGTGTGAGATGGTATTTTTTGTCAAGTCTCCAGGCATTTAAGAATATAAATTTAGTATATTTGGAATGGGTTAAGATTTTGATGATTTGTTCTTTCATAATGCAGGACGAATACAAACCTTCAGGATTTTAAGGCCCTGGAGGGGGCACCACATTTGCAGGTCAGACCAAAAGGACAGCTCGTTTAAAATCAACTGGTTTTCCTCCGTTTTGTGTTCCTGAGCACAAACCTGACGCACAAACCCAGCAACCCAAGCTACCGCACCAGTGAAACCTCATCCCCCAGATAATTGTATTAATCTGTTTGTGTGTGTGTGTGTGTGTGTGCGCTTGTTATTTTAGTTACACCCGTGAGGCGGGTGTGCGCTCCCTGGAGAGGAAGTTTGGGGCGATCTGCCGAGCGGTGGCTGTGAAAGTTGCCGAAGGTCACAGAGTCACCGTGACGGATGCTTCGACCTCCAAGCGTCCGGCGCTGCAGGGGGGTAAGAACCTGGGCTCTCTTTTCTGTCTGCATCTCAACGGGACGTTTTGGATCGGTGGGAGGCACAGGGTCAAATCCTTTAGTCGCAATAATATACACTAATCTGCTAACGTGTACATACTTCCAAAAAATACAGTTTATTAACTTTTGTAAGTACTTTGAAATGTCAGCTTTTATTGGATCATTTTCGGAAACAAAAAATGCTGCCTCACCCAACTGGTAGTGTTCACTGGTGTGAAGATGTTCAAACTGGTTTGATATAAAACCAAACACCGGAGCAGTGAAAACATGAACATCCTTTTTAGTGAAAAACAATGTTAGATAAGGTAATCAGAAATCTTACGCTTCATTAGTAAAGGACAGATAGATAAAGAAAAAAGCAGTCTGTACTCTCAGTGATGAGGAGAGCTCTAGTTCGGTACCTCGGCTGTCGGGGCAACGGAGTAACAGCTTCGGCAAGTCGTTTTGTACTGCTTTGTAGAAAGCCCTCGGTGTTGCCAGGTAACTGATGTCAGGGACATGCAGTACAAACATTGGTGTGCGTGTGTGTGTGTGTTTGATGTCTCTGTTCACTGTTTGCAGTTTGATATATCTATATTTGGTTTTCTGTGCATCTTTGCATAATGTCTGTGTGTCTGTGCGCGCGTGTGTGTGTGTGTGTAACACGGTTGCAGCTTTTGTCTCTCTCTCTCTCTCTCTGAGGCCTCACCCCATAGTTCTGTTTCTCTATACAATATGTCAGATGTGTGGACAGGTCCAGCATGCAGTGTGTTTATATGCATTTTAGTTATGGGATTATTCCTCACACTCTGCAGCCACTTGATTTCCACAAACATAGATTGTTTTTTTTCCTTCTCATCTGGTGTTTGGCCCTCCAAAATGTGATGGAAATTTGTATTCAGCAGATTTAGTTCTGCTGCATCATGAATTGGTTGTATGACATAACATCAGTTCTTCTCAAAAGGATTCAATTCATTTCATGTGTGCTCAGACAAGGCCGCCGTCCCAGAGATGCCCATAGTGATCGACCACGTGGCCCTAAAGGACATCCTGGGTCCTCCCCTGTTTGAAATGGAGGTAAGCAACACACCGACAGGGGTCCGCAATTACAGAGAGCTGTGCAGAATTGACTTTGTCTTTCTTCACTGGCTGTCTGAACTCATTCATGTGAAGGCAACCTGTGAAGATGTCTCAGAGCTCCACAACAGCTGCCGTACATAAAGTCAGAATAATGCAGCAGGTACTTGAGATGTCCTCGTACAGTATCATGTGAAACACGACGCAGATTGTCGGGTGTTTTTGTTCTGTTTCTCCCCTTAGTTGTCTTTCATCTCACTTGTCTTTGTTCTCCTCCCTCTACACTCCTTCACACCTTTTCATCTCACCCGCCCTCTCCCGTCTTCGCTATTACATCATGTTGGCCTTTTGTTTCACATTTATTCCCGAATGTTTGAAGATTACAAGCCCTCCTTGAATTCTTTGTTTTTTTCTTCTGATTATTCCACCAACTACAGCTTCACAGATGCTTTGTGTGTGCGTGTTTGTGTGTGTGTGTGTGTTTGTGTGTTGGAAGGTGTCTGAGAGGCTCACCCTGCCAGGTGTGGCTGTGGGTCTGGCCTGGACCCCCCTCGGTGGGGAGATTCTGTTTGTGGAGGCCAGTCGGATGGAGGGAGAAGGTCAGCTCACTCTGACCGGACAGCTTGGAGACGTTATGAAAGAATCTGCCCATCTGGCTATCAGCTGGCTCAGAGCGAACGCTAAAACCTACCAGCTCACCAACAGTGAGTTCACACAGATATATAAACTGTACATGCAGGCAGGTAAACAGTGAAATAGGCTCGTTGACATGCATTTGAACCCGACATTTGTGTGGGTTTGAACAGTGGGGGGCGGTCCAGACCCGCTAGAAGGGACAGACATCCACCTCCACTTCCCAGCTGGAGCCGTCACCAAGGACGGCCCCTCTGCAGGTGTTACCATAGTAACCTGTCTAGCCTCACTCTTTAGCGGCCGATTGGTCAGATCAGACGTTGCCATGACAGGAGAGATCACGCTGAGAGGGCTGGTGCTGCCGGTGAGTGACACATATTGATAACAATAAAACATGTTTCATTCAGTTTTAACAGACTGGATTGGTCTGTTTTCCTCAGGTGGGCGGTATCAAGGACAAGGTCCTGGCGGCCCACAGGGCCGGAGTGAAGCGCGTCATCCTCCCGAAACGCAACCAGAAGGACCTGGAGGAGCTTCCAGCCAATGTCACAGCCGACCTCGACTTTGTCACAGCCGCAAACCTGGACGAGGTGCTGAACGCCGCCTTTGATGGAGGGTTTCCAGGGATAGCCAGCAGCCACACCCAGCCTCAACTGACCAGCAAACTGTAGCCCACCGATGAAAACACACACACAGTAACAATGTAAAGTGAAGGATGTGTTGCTCAATAGACCTAACAGAGGAGAATGGGTCATCAGCTTGGACATCTTAGGGTCTAATGTCTTTTGAAATTGAAAAGATAATTTGAGATAAATGAAGCTACAATCTCTCTGTTGAGAGCTGATAATGGTATGGCCTCTTTGTTAATCACATATTGGCAGTAAAGCCATTCAGAGTGTTGTCATGTTGGTGCCTCTTGGGGTTCAGCCTTTGGTTTTCTAGACTTTGTGAATGCGATGGTGGAAAATGATGGAATGTGTTCAGGCGACAAATTTCCCTGACGTTGATACGGAAGTTTAAACTTAGACTAGTCGACTAGTCGAAATAGAAAATGGTATATATGTGTATAAGAGCCATTTGAAATTGTTAATCACATTTTTCAATAAACAAAACAGATTTTAAATGTCCCCGCTTTTCACCTTAGAGAACAAGGCAGAACAAGGCAGGGTGGACGTGAGTCAGGAGCGGCTGATGATTCAGATCGGAGCGGCGGGCCTGTTGGGTGGGTGTTTACCTTGAAAATGCAGATTTTTAAAAATGTTAGCTGTGGAAATCTTACAACAAATAGCAACTAAAGACTAGTTTGATCAATACAGAATGTATCAGATACCAGACTGAGACCCTGCCTGCCTGAGGAAACAATTTCTCTGGACAAATATTTTTACTACGACAGAATCTTAATCCAAAATGAATTTTTTTTTCTGGCTGAATTAATCAGACCCATTTAATGTCTGGAGTCCTGTGCATCATGTGTGTCGAGGGTTAAAATTAAAACAAAAAAAGGTCAGACTAATTGTAACTGTATACATCAATAATATACATTGCTAGTTAAAAATGACTTGTAAAAACTGCTTTATATTTTGTCTTTAACCTTGATGACGACGACGATAAGTTCATTTTATTTTTCAACTCCTTTTTCACAGCGGCCATATCATGAAGGAAGTACCTTTTCGGTGCTTGGGCACTTATATATTTATGTATCTGGATTGCCTTTCAACCTACAAACTGTGAAATAAAGCAAGTCAGTTTTTTGTGGGCTGCTTGGATCAGAATGTGATTCAACAAGCCATTCAGATTTGTATATATTTATATACAGTGGGTACGGAAAGTATTCAGACCCCTTTAAATGTTTCACTCTGTTTCATTGCAGCCATTTGCTAAAATCAAAAAAGTTCATTTTATTTCTCATTAATGTACACTCAGCACCCCATCGTGACAGAAAAAACAAACGTAGAAATTTTTGCAAATTTATTAAAAAAGAAAAACTGAAATATCACATGGTCATAAGTATTCAGACCCTTTGCTCAGTATTGAGTAGAAGCACCCTTTTGAGCTAGTACAGCCATGAGTCTTCTTGGGAATGATGCAACAAGTTTTTCACACCTGGATTTGGGGATCCTCTGCCATTCTTCCTTGCAGATCCTCTCCAGTTCCGTCAGATTGGATGGTGAACGTTGGTGGACAGCCATTTTCAGGTCTCTGCAGAGATGCTCAATTGGGTTTAGGTCAGGGCTCTGGCTGGGCCAGTCAAGAATGGTCACAGAGTTGTTCCGAAGCCACTCCTTTGTTATTTTAGCTGTGTGCTTAGGGTCATTGTCTTGTTGGAAGGTGAACCTTCGGCCCAGTCTGAGGTCCAGAGCACTTTGGAAGAGGTTTTCTTCCAGGATATCTCTGTACTTGGCCGCATTCATCTTTCCTTCAATTGCAACCAGTCGTCCTGTCCCTGCAGCTGAAAAACACCCCCATAGCATGATGCTGTCACCACCATGTTTCACTGCTGGGATTGTATTGGGCAGGTGATGAGCAGTGCCTGGTTTTCTCCACACATACCGCTTAGAATTAACGCCAAAAAATTCAATCGTGGTCTCATCAGACCAGAGAATCTTATTTCTCATAGTCTGGGAGTCCTTCATGTGTTTTTTGGCAAACTCTATGCGGGCTTTCATATGTCTTGCACTGAGGAGAGGCTTCCGTCGGGCCACTCTGCCATAAAGCCCCGACTGGTGGAGGGCTGCAGTGATAGTTGACTTTGTGGAACTTTCTCCCATCTCCCTACTGCATCTCTGGAGCTCAGCCACAGTGATCTTTGGGTTCTTCTTTACCTCTCTCACCAAGGCTCTTCTTCCACGATTGCTCAGTTTGGCTGGACGGCCAGGTCTAGGAAGAGTTCTGGTCGTCCCAAACTTCTTCCATTTAAGGATTATGGAGGCCACTGTGCTCTTAGGAACCTTGAGTGCTGCAGAAATTATTTTGTAACCTTGGCCAGATCTGTGCCTTGCCACAATTCTGTCTCTGAGCTCCTTGGGAAGTTCCTTCGACCTCATGATTCTCATTTGCTCTGACGTGCACTGTGAGCTGTAAGGTCTTATATAGACAGGTGTGTGCCTTTCCTAATCAAGTCCAATCAGTTTAATTAAACACAGCTGGACTCCAATGAAGGAGTAGAACCATCTCAAGGAGGATCAGAAGAAATGGACAGCATGTGAGTTAAATATGAGTGTCACAGCAAAGGGTCTGAATACTTATGACCATGTGATATTTCAGTTTTTCTTTTTTAATAAATTTGCAAAAATTTCTACATTTCTGTTTTTTTCTCAAGATGGGGTGCTGAGTGTACATTAATGAGAAATAAAATTAACTTTATTGATTTTAGCAAATGGCTGCAATGAAACAAAGAGTGAAAAATGTAAAGGGGTCTGAATACTTTCCGTACCCACTGTAAATATGTATGTGAAATGTATTTTTTCAGTCAACTGAATGGAGGTGAAGGATAAAGCTTTTAACTATAAATGTATTGATGTATTTAGTTATTGTTTTGACTGATTTTAGGGCTGAATAACATTGAGTTGCCTCAATATTTTAAACAAAGATTGTTGACTTTATCTTACATCATCTATCTATCTCCTAGTACTGTGTGCAGACTGTATACCCTGCAGACAAGAACACAGCACAGAGGTCAGTGTCAGGCTGAAGTCTGTCATCACAATTGTGTTTCCTATGTGCTGACTAAAGAATGGGTTAAAAAACCTATTGTCAATAATTTGTCAAATGATAAAACAAATAAAGAAAATGTATAGCATGCAGCTCCTTATGTGTATTTGTCTCATTGTTACGTTGATGAGTAGCAAAACATATACATCCAACTTGCAATAACTGATTTTGGCCACTTGGGGGCAGCAGTAAGAAGCTGTCAACACAACACTGACATGCACTTGAAGTTTGCACACAGAGCTTTTTATTTGCCTGAAATCTTTAGTCAACAGACCTAATTAGTTAGGTTATGTGGTTTGGGTTAAATTAACCCTTTCTGGCAGAAAATCCTGAAGGCAAACTTCTTCCATGTGCCGTTGGCATCAACTTTCAAGTTGTTATGGCAAACTTGTCAGCAAACAGTTGCTTGTTTACATATCCAGCAGATAAGGAGACACAGTTGCATTTATCTGGAGTATGATGAATGTCCAATATTTGAGCCTTTGTTTCTCCCCAACAATGGTAAAAAATAAATATCTGTCTTTTGAGCTTCTACTATGTTTACCAGCTAGATGCTAACTTTGTCTGTTATTTGGTGCTGGGCAGCTAGCATACAAGCTCGTTCTGCTAAAAACAGCTTCCTGTTGCTGCTGGAAATGATGCTGTGAAAGTGAACGCTATGAGACACTTCTTTCATATTACATGCCATCATTTGATTAATTGTTATCATAAAATATTGATCAAAACACGACCATGTTATCATAATTTTGAGGATAACAAAATATTGTACACAGCAATTAACTGTTAATATACATCTACTTGATCTTATGTAATTCTTCATCTTTTTCTTGTATTCAGTTCATATTTGCACTAATAGCGCCCTGATGTCTGCCTTACACCGCAAAGCAATATGAATTTACAAATATGTATCTATTACAAAACTACAGCCTAGAAGTTTGTATAGGTACTGTTCCAATTCAAAAGTCTGCGGGCCTTTCTCAATACCAAGTACGCCAAGTATGGACTTGTGTACTTTGGAGTACGGACTTGTGGACTTGGGAGTCGATGCAAACCGCCGAACCAATTCCTGCCGCTCTTTTGCCTATATATGTACACTGCATGTGTGTCACAGTAAGTTCACTGCAGACACACCCAGTCTCAGTTAAATCGGAGTATTAGGACTACCTTTCTAAGCCCTCTTGATTCAACATCCCCCCTCACCGCAAGCACACGTTTCCTCTCTGAGTTGAGGCCCTTAATGTATAACCCAGAGGCCCTTGAGGTGGGCTTAGAATACTGCAGCATACCCACTTCACATGGCAGAGCATCCCCGCACGCACAGTTTATACCGTGTGATCTTGCATCAGCTGATTACAGGTGTGGTCCCCACAGACAAGCTGAACCCGTGACCACATGATGTACGGAAAGGTTTGAACAAACAGAATCAGGATTTGTATTACACACCAATTCATTTTGAAGATGATACTGTCCAGTTCTTGATATTCAGATATTTATATATTTTATAACATTTTTTGAAAAACATAAACTTATATCTGTTACTGTTGGATAAAATGTGCTCATATGAAGGATAAGGATCAGTAGGTGACTGAAGGGAAGTTATTTGTGTGGGGAAGGGGGCTGAGAAATCTTCACTTACTGATCCATCCTTGAGGGAAGAAAAATGCACAGACTCCCCCTATAACATGCCAAAATAAAGAATATTAAAGTGGTGCAACTCCTTAAACCATTAATAATTAAGAATTTAATATCAGGTTACCCCAAATGCACATTTCGTTTTTTTAACAGAACATAAATGTTCATATCAAATCAGCAATTATCAAATTTATAGAATATATATTATAGAAAGGGGCGCTCAAAGACGTCTGCAATGACCTCGGCTGTGTTGTCTGATTGAATCGATACAATCCAGAATTGGCTAACTACCCATCCAGACACCGATGGGCTGCAAAGCGTTGTAAAACACACTTCATTCCAACTCAAAAACAAGAGGCGATGCATGCAAGCAATTGGCTCGAAGTCGTTGTACAATCCACTTCATGAAATCCTGCCAAAAACTAAAAGAAACTCACCAAGCTGTCTGCCAGCTCAGCAGCGGCTGAGTTGCAGCGAGGGTAGAACAGTGTGTGTACTGATAGCTCCGTTAGCTGTTATATAGGTTAGCCAAACACAGAGTGAGCCGCAGAGCAGCAGCTGAGAGGTACGCAGCTGTGTGTGTGTGTGTGTGTGTGGTAGTTCCGTTAGATGTTAGCCAAACACATCGCAAACTGTTATCCCTCCCACTGTGGGCGCAGAGTAGGGGCTGGGGGTCGGCGATGCACTTGCAGGTTAAGAGCAGTGAGTGAGGAGTCAGCAGAAAGCCAATGGCAGACAAAAACAGGCAATAAAAGGTGTTTTAAGAAAGCGTGAGTCACCATAACCACGAGAGGTCACGGAGCATGCAGCCATAACTGGCCACCCGAAACATAATGACGTTTTCGGCAGCAGAATGCGAGATTAGCTGTGGACAGACACAGAAGAGCACACTCAATCACTCACTCGACCGCATGATCTTACTGGCGGAGATAACAAATAAAGCTGTCAGTAGTGTTCCAGTTTATCTTAACCATAATCTACTTAATAAACAGATATTGAAGTGTTTTACACACAGCAGATTTTGTTTTGTGCACACTTTATTTATGTAGCATAGCTCAAGGTGTCCTGGTTACAGAGGACAATTAAGTGTGTGTGTTCAATTAGCCCTGGGACTGCGCCACCGGGGCTGCCGGAGCACAATGGAACCGAGCTCATTGCAGTAGAGGTGAGGTGTTCCAACGTTTAATTAAATGTTTGTGGATAGGTTGAGTTATACTACACGGAAGCCAGGAGGTTGCTGTTCAAAAGCAGACTTAATTTACAGTCAACAAATACATTTATCAAATTGTGCAAAGTAAAGATTTTGGAGAGTCGACACTGGTGGGGGTGTTAAAGACAGTAGGGGCAGGTTGAAGATCTAATTCAGGGGTCTTCAACGTTTTTCAGGCCAAGGACCCCCAAACTGATAGAGAGATGGAGCAGGGACCCGCTACTATATATATTGTATAAAATTGTGTTTTATATTAAACTGGGCCTAGTGCCATGTATAAACATACCTCTTTATTGTGCAATCAATACTAAGCTATTCAAATAATACACAGGTTCATATATTCATGTTTTTATTTTAAACATGTGCAAGGTACAGTGAGTATGGCCGTGCCACTGCCATTTAGAAACATACCTCGTCAGCTGATACCAATGCCAATACCAACATTGTCTGTCAATTGCATGATAGTCATGCAGAAGCTATTCAAACTGATGTTCTTATTTTAAACATAAATGTGGAAACGAAAAATGAGCGATGGCCTATTAGTGCCACTGCCATGCATAAACATATGTTATCATGCATACGATACTGAACTGTTAAAATAATGGACAGATTCATGTTTGGGGAAAAAAAAGAAAATTAATTTTTTTTTAATTTTGTGGTCTTGCTGGGCCGCAGCAACAATCCCTTTAGGCCTAAAGACATGAGGAATATTTCTTCTTCTCCAACCCTAATCCGGAAAGCAAATAATCATATTTCCATGTCTTTTTGATGTAACAATTTCAGCTCTCTTTCTATATATAGTGAATCTCTCAAAATCCCCCAAATCATTCTGGTACAGTCTCTTACCTCCAGAGGGTGAGATCACAGTGCAACCTGCAAGCGGACAGAAGACTTGTCAAAGGAACGAGCATTCGCATCTCTTCAGGGGAAAGAAAAAAAAAAAAGAAAAAAAAACTTGAGCTCTTATGCACAACACTATTACTGTGTTCCATGCTGCCTGACTGATCTAGCTATCTGACCTCACAGGCTGCCCTACTTAACAATGAGAAACGTGGGAAGGCTCTCAGGCTACTACATTACACTCTACACGTTTATGCAGCAGATTAAATGATCAATTCAACATTTAACAGCATTGATAGTTTCACCTTCCTGTATTGAGGCGTTTATTTGACTTTGATAAGAAGCTAAACAAGTGCACGTGGATCACGATGAACAGCCTTGAAGTATGAATTAGCAGTGTCGACGTATTTAGCCAAAGATTTGCTGAGACTGTATTTTTTTTTGCTGAGGTAATAAAGATGCGCCGATTCACACCTGGTGGGCTGCCAGGCACAATCACACATGGCCCGACTGTGCTAAGAGGAGGCACAGTCCTGGACTCAACAGTATAGTTTAGGATCCTTCCTGGTCACAAATCATTTCCTACAGAAAATATAAAATATTCATTTGCAGGACGACACATGATGCCATTCTACACCTTATTCCTATGGCAGCATGATCCCCGGGGGTTTTCTTAGCAACTTTTTGAGTTGTTCTCAGAGGCCAACCCTGACCAAGAGAGACGATTTAAAAAAATAAATAAATAAATAAATAAAATAAAATAAGACATGTCTGCCAAGAAGTTTGTATTGATACAGTACTACTCAGGCCAAACCAGTTTACTCCTTTGTTTGCCGCTTCTTGTTCCGTCCCTGTAACCAACCACGGTATGCACACTTCTCACCTTCCACCGGTAGAACATTGGATATTTGTAGAGCACGTACTGCTACAGACATTGATTTTAGCTCCCCTCTTCCGGTTCTAAAAATCAGAAATCAAATCGCAGTTTTGAGAACTTGAAATGAAGGCATGTCATTGCGCAGCGGTCATGAAAATGAACTTTGAAGCTCAATTTAAAGCAAGCATGGGAGAGAAGGCCCGGAAATATATATATATTTTTTTTAAAAACATCTACAATTCCATGACAACCGGGCAAACTCCATCTGCTGAGGAGGCTCGTGTGGTTTGATGCAAGCCAGAACAAAAAATATAGCTTTTTCCTCAATGAGCTGAATATCTTAGAGGGACTGTAAGGAAATTGTCTAATAAAAATATTAAAAAGATGCCATGTGGAGTTACTAGCGGTCAAAAACTCCTTTAAGTATAGAGACAAATAATTGGTACTGGTCAGAATTGCATTAAATAAATGTAGCCAGTGTTGAGGTCTGAGGCACACAGTAAAAGAAAAGAAGAAAAGGCACCAGGTATGAAAAAGATAGATTTATTTAATGACAAATTAAAACAGAAAAGAAGTGAAGGAGTCGAGGGAGAGCAGCAACGTTACTGAGACTCCACATGAAGAGCAAGGGAGAGATGATTGGCTTGACCTCCCTCCCTCCTCATAGACAAAAAAGAAAGAAAGGACTTACCGCACAAACGAGAGGACAGAGAGACGAATAGAGGAAAAACAATCCAACTCGGGAAAAACACAAACCTTCAGAAGAACGACACAACTTGCTTTTTAACTACAAACACCGAAGTTTAGCCACAAGTTTTACAACTGTCTCTTACTTTTTGTTTTTAAAAGTCATTACAAAATAAGATAATTATGATAATCTCCATTTAATAATAACAATAGCAACATTGTAACGGTAGAAACTGTCCCTCATTCCTGGTTGGGTGATCAGTCAATCAGTGGTTGAGGCCGACGCCGGCAGACGGAGGCCGAGAGCAAATGAAAGAAGTGAGAAAATGAGCAGGCTTTTTGCCACATGCCCACCTCGCACGCAGGCACCCAGGCACACACACACACACACACACACACACACACACACACACACACACACCAGGAGTTCTTCTCTCCTCGCATACAAAAAAGACAACTAAAATAATTAAAAAGAAACCGACTTAAAAAAAAAAAATAAACTCCAAAAGAAAACTGACTCGACTGAAATGCAGTGTTTGTTTCCTCCTTGTTCTAAAAAAAACAAAAAGACCCCCCTCTAACACGCATCCACTATTACACCTGCATGTAATGAATGGTGTGTGAGACTCCATGAAAATAATAATAAAAAAAAAAAAAAAAAAATTCTAGGGCTGCTGTAGCTGAGAGCTTTCCTAAGTATGAGAGCAGAGTCTGTTCTAAGAACTATCAACAACGACAGTAAACTATTTTAAGATGCTCAATCTTCAGCCTCGGGTGGACCGATGTGGACCAGAAGGAAACCAGATGAGTCTGCCATCCCGGATAGAACTGGCCGTCTGTGGTTCCAGGGCGCTACAGCCGTCCATGTCTGTGGGTGGCCGTTCCATACCCAGCCATCGATAAGCCACGTCAGTCACAGGTGACGATAAACACCAGAATCTGCGATGAGGCGCTTCATGGGCACTGGGTTCCAGTCTGAGCTAGCTTAAATGTGAAGACACCCACCGGGGTGAAACCCAGCCACAGCCACGTTGTCACCCGGTCCATCCCGCAGGTCGGAGGGGTTCTGAGGTGGATTGCAAACCATAGGAAATGGGGGGGGGCCAGCACTGACCGGGAGTCTGTGTTGAAATAATAGCTTGAGGCTTCCCCAGTGTGTAGCTGTCAGGGCAGAGCCGCAGTGTCTGAAATATCGGAGGATGACTGAGGGACGAGACGAAAGAGAGACACGAAAATAAGAGTGGTGGGAAATCACTTGAAGAGACGAGTTTGTCTGAACAGCCTTTCAGTTTGTGTCCGTGTTTTCATGACCAAGAGAGGGCGAGATCGCATGTGCGTGCATGAGTCTCACATGTATATATGTTCGTGTGTGTGTGTGTGTGTGTGTGTGTGTGTGTGTGTGTGTGTGTGTGTGTCGAAGTCTATAGCCGTCGCTACACAGTTATGTCCATGTGTTTATCCATTCCTGCACTCCATTCATCCATTCATCCATCCCCACCCCCAGGGCATCCACGGCTGCCCGATCAGACAGTCCAGTTCCACGTCTCAAGGGGTGAGGCAGAGAGGAGAGAGGGGGGGAGGGGAAGAGGGGGGGCACTGTGAGGTCACAACCGATTTGACCCCGTTAAAAACAAAAATGCCCCCTGACAATCCGTAACTTTTTTGACCCTCTTCTCTTGGAGGCTCTTTAGCACATGGAGATGGTGACGTTGATGCCCAGGTTGCCGTTCTCCGCGAACAGCTGTGCGATGGACGTGTCGAACACCAGGCAGTCGCTGTTCATGATGGCCGTGGCGATGCCCTCGTGGATGGAGCGCGGCGTGGCCTCCCAGGTCAGGCGGCGCCGGTGCCCGTTGAGCTCCAGCCGGTAGGCAAAGTTCTCGGCCTGCTTGCGGGTCCCGATGAGCTGCACGATGGCGAAGAACTGCTGGTGGCCGTCGTACTTCTCCTGCTTCTCCAGCACGAGCATGAAATGGAAGCCGAAGCACGACTGCATCATCACCCAGTCCACCGCGCCCGGCAGGTTGATGTCCGTGGCCAGGAACACAATGTCCTCCCCCTGGTTAGAGACACACACACACAGGTCAGACAGGTTAATCCATCATGTCTCAAGGCTACAGTATAATGAGAAGTCTCACCGTCACAGGGAAGGCGTCTTTCATTTTCCATAATGAGCTATCACAAATATACAAAAGCAAGTATTTAAATCACTTTCCATATTTATCATTTAGCATCCCCACACACACAGCTAGCTTATTAGGCACAGACTTTCCTTTGTTTTGACAAACGTCACTGTATATCCGTATTACGCTTAGTTCAATGAAGCAGCCGAGGAGACAATGTTTGACCTGCAGTGTGGTGATGGACTTGTGCTGGTGCATCAGGTGAGGCATGACGGCGTCCAGGGAGCCCTGCCACTTGCAGGAGGCGCCGGGGCAGGGGCAGGAGTACGGCCGGAACTCGCACAGCTCTTCGTGCTCCGTCTTGTCGGTGTGGGGCAGGGTGACTTCGCAGCCCGACGAGGCGTACTTGCAGGGGAAGAGGACAGAGTTGGCCACCTTTTCCATGGCGAGGTTCCTGATGGAGCCCAGGGGGCCTCGGCAGGTGGGGCAGCAGGTGAGCTTGGGCCGGCAGTTGGAGCATACCTGGGGAGGGACACAGGGAACAAGTTAGCGGTTTTACCTCCACAAGATGTTCTTCTCTTTAACCCCTCTGAACCCCCAAAACCCACCCATACTACACCGTTTTATCAGCCAGATGCTGTAAAACCGTCATTATCGTCAGATTTGCACCTTTCCGACGGCCCCTGAACACATCATGCGTAACAAACGCTTCCGTCAGAAAAAGCAACAAAGCCTAAAATTGTGATATCCCATCAAAAACATTGTATTCTACAAGTCTCGTTAAGAAACCTCATCCCAAATAAAGCGCAACTAGGAAGCCATGATTGACTCGGCTGAGACCAAAAGTCACGTGACAAAAATTCCACAATGCTTCGACTGAACTGCAGGCTGCTGAACACAGTGCATTGAGGAGAGGCTGTAAAAATGTGAATAGTTCAATTTATATAGCACGTAAGAAATACAGTCAGGTCAGTCAGTCCAGCTGTTAAAATCTGCAGCTTATGCCAAAGTCAGCATCTTTAGGGATGACTATTGCTTCCAAAACGCTTCCTGCTTCAAATGCTTTGTCTACTCATGATCAAAACTGTTGACATTAATATACCTGTATTTAAGTTCCATTTAACTTCAAATGTAAATCAAGTGAGGCACTCATTTTGACATCTAAACTCTGCTGCACACAACAACTGGCTCTGGTTAGTTTCCAGGCCGGACGGCACGTACCAGGTGCCCAGACTGGCACTGCAGGATGGGGGGTAGGACATAGTCGAAGCAGACGGGGCACTCAAACAGGCTGGCCAGGTCGCTGTTGGAGGCGGTGGTGCCCGACAGGGTGGGCACGCGCTGGGAGGGGGGGCACTTGGAGGTTCCGGTGGGCAGCGCGGTGGCAGTCTGGCGACTCATTTCTGAAAAGAAGGGAAAAAAGAGAGAGAGAGAGAGAGAGAGAGAGAGAGAGAGAGAGAGAGAGAGA